GGAGCTCAATGCAGTTAGAGTAGAGAACCGGCGTTCTTTTTTACTGGAGACGAAACATTCCATCTTAGTCCTCAGGGGTGACAATGCATCTGCAATTTGATTCTCAATCAATGATGTTTTGTAGACGTAGATGTCTATGGGCCACAGTATCCACTTACTATCAGGTGTACTGTGTGCTCATTTGTCACCATTATTCTGTAAAAACAAAACTTGGTATTGAATGGAAAAGTATCAATACCTACTTCTATCAAACAATATTGTTCACATATTCCGTATCAATCTTTAGAATCAACTCAAGAAGCTTAATAAGCTTCCATTCGATTACAATATAGGTGTCTTCAAGGCAAGAGTGAATAGGCTTATGTTAACAGGTAGGATCATAGTCAAGCAGTGGCAAGCAAAATAGTAAAAAAAAATAAAAGCCTTCCCCATATATTGCCTCATAGGGAGGATATTTGCCATTAATTTAATAATTTCACCTCTCAGTGGGTCATGTGCTCCTGATAGATTATCTTCTATACATTCATCCATTACAGCCTATAAAAGTCCACTACTGAACATAGGCCTCCCCCATAGATTGCCTCATAGGGAGGATATTTGCCATATTTGTAATGTTACTGTTAATTTAACAATTTCACCTCTCAGTGGGTCATGTGCGCCTGGTAGATTATCTTCTATTCATCCATCCATTATAGCCTATAAAAGTCCACTGCTGAACATAGGCCTCCTCCATAGATTGCCTCATAGGGAGGATATTTGCCATAGGTGTAATGTTACTGTTAATTTAACAATTTCACCTCTCAGTGGGTCATGTGCGCCTGGTAGATTATCTTCTATTCATCCATCCATTATAGCCTATAAAAGTCCACTGCTGAACATAGGCCTCCTCCATAGATTGCCTCATAGGGAGGATATTTGCCATAGTTGTAATGTTACTGTTAATTTAACAATTTCACCTCTCAGTGGGTCATGTGCTCCTGGTAGATTATCTTCTATACATCCGTCCATTACAGCCTATAAGTCCACTGCTGAACATAGGCCTTCCCTCTATATATTGCCTCATATTTGCCACAGTTGACATGCTTGGCAGGTGGGTTGGCAACTGCAGTTTTTTATTCTTTTAGGTTGTATAAGAAAATGCTCACGCAAATTTCCCATTTTATTTCCCTCTATTGCCTCTTAGGACACCCATGGCATGATATGTGGTAGTTGATTTTTTTACACTGCCACTACTGGGATGAACCTAAATATGCATAATAATATGATAATGACATTTTTTTCAAATTCTTTGTCATTCACAACTTCATAGAACTGCAACAAATATGATATTATCCGTGTATGCCTTAGCATCAGCAGCAATCATTGGTTTTATTTGGTTGTTTTTGCTCATACATAAATATAATAAAACTTTTCTGCTTACTAACCTTTCGAGAATATTCGATGAGTACATTGAATGCAGACAGAATTTGGGTACGGAAACGAACAGCAGATCTGACGGCAGCAAGACATTCCCAACACACTTGGATTGTCAGGCCATCTGGAACCTAATTTTTTTTTTAAATTAGCATTGTTGAATAACCATCATTTAAAAAAATTAGGCCTATAGAAAAAGACCACAGTTGGACAAAGGCCCTAGGCATTGACTTATATTTGCCACAGTTGCTACACTTGGCAGATGCTTTAGCAACTGTAGTTTTTCTATGGTGCTGTTGATCTTCAGTACCATTTCCCTCTGTCACCACTTACAACATCAACAGTATTATATGGGACAGGGGGTTCTCGAAGTTATGGAATACCTTCAATTTTAAGATGTGATATCATGCGGTGAAAACATGAGAGACTTCATTGTTTCATTTTGTATTGTGGGTATCGTAAGAGGCGACTAAAAAAAAATGGCAGAAAAATCTCATGGCTTCCACAAGATGGCTTAACATCTAGTTTAAAATACCTAGATTGACAATGGGTAGTAACATCTGTGGTGCAAGATATCTAATACTACAATCGTCATCAATGCCAATGCATGCTAAATGTGACTACTAAGCCAATCCCTCCCTAAGTGGAGAGGCTCATGTACGGCAATGGAGTTTTTACCAGCTGATTAAGAAAAAATTAAGAAAAAATTATATGTTATAAAAACATAACATAACGGGTGGTATACCCACTTTATGTATACGATTTAAAATATCCATATTTAGAATTCTAAATCACTCAAAAATGCAAAATCTCTGCATGGACAACTTTCTGCTAAGCAAATTAAGCTAATGTATTAGAGGTTTGCTGGGGTGTAGAGTTAGGAGTATGGGAATAACACAATTGATCCAAACCAGAAAACTAATAATTGATGTTTTAACATAAATGCTACAGCTACGGCTGGTATTCAACCATGTGGTGGCGGGTTATCATGTCTAGCAAAGGATCACACATTTATAAAAGAAAACCATGTGTAAAATATCAAGATAAATGGAAACTAATCGATTGATATCATTCCATCCTTGTCCTTGGAGGTATGACATTGAAAAGTTATTAAGCGGCTTTAAAGAGACTACCCGCAGGGGCTTTGTTTATATGATATGTTTAAAATTAAAGCTTAAGAGTAACATCACATTTCTATTTTAATTCTTTCCAAATTTGCAGTAAATGTAAGTTTAAAGAGTACCTAACTTATTTTAACAACAATTAAAAAAAACAAAAAATTAAATAAAAATAGTGGTTTTGCGTCTTTCTAAAAGAACAAAAATAGCGACGGATCCAAGGTTTTTTGTTCCGACTTAAATAATTTATATTCATGACTTAAATATCATATTTTAAGACAGAAAATCATCTTCAAAACTATAAGCAATGTTCTATCGATTAAAATTCTCTAAATATAAATTATTATTATACTTACATCTATATTTGCCCATATTTTAAAAAAATCTTTAACTTCTTCTTGATAAAACATCTTTCTATTATAATTGAGACAGCCGACACATATACCGTTTACATTATAACCTTCAATATTGATATTTATTTCCTTCATTGTTTATTTTCACTATGTACAAATAATTGTAAACAAAAATCTTTATAAGCAATGGAAACTTTATGCCTTTCTTTCGGCCATTTTGTTCGTTTTCTGTTGACATTGACAGATAACTTTTTATTTTTTGTCTGTGCTTGAAATTTGCTGTTGTTGTTAGGATTCGCCAATTGAGACAAGCAAATGTCTTAGACCATACAGTCCTTATGTTACACTGTGAAGTTCTTGGTAGATTTTGACGACAGATTAATCCAGTAGACAATTGATGACGATAATATTTCAAGACCCCTAAAAGAATAAAGATTTAGAACATCATCGAAGCTCTTATCACATAATTTCCACTAAAATAACATGCGCTGACGTTCGCACAACAACCAAACACCACACATAGCACATCGACAAATCGCACCACTTTTACGTATCCAATTGCAACCATTATTCAAACGATAAAATATTAAGCAGTGATCAGCTGGCAGTTAAATTATAAAAAAAAAATTATATCCTAAAAAGACAAAAGAGCTTTTGCTTACCACAAGTTGGACAGCTTTAATCTTTTCTAGACCTTAAGCAGTTTGTGATATTGTCATTTTATTGGAACCTTTAGTGATAATATTATGATGTGACATAGATTTTTTACAATATGGTAGACTGTTATCCGGTATTTTATTTCGCTTTTAACAAGCAAAAGACAGAATTTGAAAATTTAATCAAAGTTGTTTATGAGTATTTTGGTAAATAGCATTGTTTGCGTTGGGAAGATTATTATTTATTTCCCTTGTCTCTTCGATCAAAAATAAAAAAAAATGTTTTGCTATAATTCTTGAATGAGACTAAATATCAAGATAAGTAATGTTGGGGCTACATTGTTGGACGATTTCTCGTGATGACGCCACAAATATTTTGTATTCAGTTATGATAATGTAGACAGCCGCCGTCTGTATTTCATCTGTAGTGGCAAATATAGTCACGAAAGTAAATTCGCTTTTTTTTAAAAACAAGTATGTTTGCCATAAACGAATAAACAGTCCAACTTACGGTGTGTTCTGTGGAATACGGAACTACATTTATCCTAGAATAAGAACCAGTCAACGGGTAAGCGTTCGCTGTAAATGTTACAGTATGCAAGCAGCCCCGGATTGATTTCCATCATCAGCAATGAAATTGTTAGTTGCAATTTTAAGTGCTTATTTACCACGTGCTCGGCGGTGAAGAAAATAATCGTGAGAAAATCTGCACGTTTGAGAAATTAAAAATGTTGTGAAAAGATGTGAAGTCCGCACACGCATTGGAGCAACTCTCGGAAATAAGAGGAGGCCTGAGCCCAGCAGTAGGACGTATATAGGCTGTAACTTCACTTTAATAATCAAAATGCAGGCCTGAGGTCTAAAATGGAATGCTTCAAAACACAACAGCATCATGCTGCTATTTCACGATGGTATTCTTGCGAGTGTGGTCCACGGTCGGGCCGGCCTGTTCGTGACGTAGCCATAATATGCTAAAGCATGGCTCTACCACGTACTTAAACGTCTTCTTATGTGATGAACTGCTTGGCCAGATAAAATGCAACAACTTGCGCATTATTGTTACGATTCTTCAGTTAAGGCATGCAAAGGTCTTAGATCATACAGCCTTTTTTGATACATTTTTTCATAAAACTCTTTTCAATATGCAATTGCATTGTGAAGTTTTCAGAAGATTTTGACTGCGGATTTTGATGACTGCTTAACCTATCGGACAATAGCATCACTTTGACACATCATAATCCACTTTGTGACTTCAAAACATTAGTTAAGCGAATTAATACAGGAGCAACAATCCGCCGTTATTCAAGTTCTCGACAAAACTGCCGCCGCATAAGAATGTGATCATTTCACTTTTTCCTTACATGTAACCGAACGTAAAACGATGCTGAAAAGTTTCACTTAAATTTAAGAGGGAGCTCAAAGAACAAAGAGTTTGTAAAAAATTGTAAAACATTTTATTATCATTTCGTTTTTCTGTTTTTGTAATGCTCTTGATGATCGCACTGTCTCAGCTTCTCGGCCGCTTGTTCCGGCGTGAGGTCTCGCTGAGGTTGTGCCAGCATTTCGTAGCCAACCATGAACTTTTTCACAGTAGCTGAGCGGAGAAGTGGGGGTAGATATAGTGCGTGTAAGAGCCAATGGGGGGAATCTCCTTGGGTAGTAGACGGACCGGTGGGAGCGCCTGTTAGCAAACACGAATATAAATAACTAAAACTTTCCAATTATACCGATCATAGATATCATGCAAATAACGAATATAAATAATTAGTACAAGTGATAAAATTAAAATTTTTGTACTTCAATATAAATAATTTATTCCTGATTTTATAAAAACGGCGGACTGATTTCAATAAAACTTGAATGGGACCACCTGGGAAGTATACCTTTTAAAACAAAAAAGAATTTTCCAAATCGGTTCAGGCGTCTTCGAGTAATCGGTGAACATACATTAAAAAAAGATTCCGACGAATTGCGAACCTCCTCCTTTTCGAAGTCGGTTGAAAAAAACATACAAACATAGCCACTTATTGCTCATTACAGCCTATCAAAACATCACTGCAGAGCATAAGCCTTGCCAATACATTGCCTCATTTGCCATAGTTGCCACGCTTACCAGGCGGGTCGGCCACCGTAGTTTTATTATTATTACTATGAGTTGTTAGCAGAAATATGCTGCTGTCAATCTGATGTTTCTGTTTCCCACTGTCACTTCTTACAAATCCACGGCTCACTAAGAAGTAGTATAGTAGAGCCATGCTGCAGCTATGTTAGTAGTATAGTTGTAGCGTGAATGGGTCGGCTCCACCGGGGAAGGACCACGCTCTCACAGAAAACCAGCGTAAAATAGCAGCTTAACGCTGCTGTGTTTCGTATGGTAAGTGTAGAGAACCGGAGACCCTTTTTACTGGCAAAGAGGCATTACATCTTAGTCCTCACGGGTGACAACGCATCTGCATCTTGAGTCTTTATTGAGGATAGATGGAGATGTCTACGGGACACAGTAACCACTTACCATCAGGTGGACCGTGTGTTCGTTTGTCACCTTATCCTATAAAAAAAAAGAAACCGCGACTATCAACCCACCAAGTATGATAAATATGGCAAAGGAGGCAATTATGTCAAATATCCTTACTATGAGACAATCTATGTGGGAGGTCTTTTCGTAGGCCGTAATGAAGACCATGATGGACTTTCGACGGCTTGGCTAAGCTCGCTTGTTTGGTTTGGCTATAGCGCTACAGGAACACGGGTTCAAATCATGTACGAAACAAGTGTTTGTAAGGCTTAAAAATAAATGTTCCGGAGATATGCTACACTAAACAATAAAAAGAGCTTACCGTGCCACCCCATGCTGTATGGGAAACTACATTGAAATAGGTTGTCGTATTTGGTGTTCAACTGTTTCATGATTTCCGCCAATGCTCTCTTCTGTTCTGCGTTCAGATCGGTCATCCTCTGCGGGCTGCCGTTGATGGGTAGGACCATAGTCTCGTAAGGCCATGCCGCCCAATACGGCACCAAGGCTACCCATTCTGAGTTCTGTATGACAATCCGCTCCTTCAACAATAGACAGTCAAGGTAAAAATTCGCTTGCAAACATTCCATAGCAAAGGTGACAAACGATACAGTCCAAGTAATGGCAAGTGGATTCTGTGGTAGCGACACGTTGTAGTGTATCCCCAACGACAATTTACATATGTATATTAGTGTTAAGTTTAGATTAAGAGTACTCTAATTAAAGTCGTAGACAGATCAACACGCCTCTCATTGACACCTTTCCTACATTACAACGTATATATATATATATATATATATATATATATATATATATATATATATATATATATATATATATATATTCACCACTAAGAATCAAAACGCAAATGCGTTGTCAACCCTGAGGACTTAGATAGAATGCCTCTTTACTAGTGAAAAAGGTCTCTGGTTCTTGTCACTACCTTCTATACGAGAGTGATCCTTCTCCGTTCGAGCTGACCTATTCTTGCTACAGTCATATTGAGCTGATGTGGATCTACTAAATTAAAAACAATTTTCGTATCCTTCACTCACAGCCGTAATGGAATTCAAAGACAGTGTGTTTCTTTGTCTGTCTCATCGGCCTTATCTTTTTCAAGGTTGACGTCCTGACAATTATGATGCGGAGACGATCATGTACTTACCTTTTGTTTCAGTTCCTGCTCGACGTAATCAACTAGCAATGCCTTTCCGTGTTTATTATAGTATTCTTTTTGGCACCTGAAAAATCAAAATAGAACTTTAACATTGTCGTGAATATAAATCCTTTAACCGATAGAAGAATAGGGGAGATCGTGTGTGTTAGTATGGCGCTTGTTTTATATTCGGAAACTTCGAAAGCGTGATTTAGGGTAAAGTTCGTTTCCGCTTATGACGCTACGACAGCGTCAATTCGAAGTAGGTTTTGTTCTAAGTAACAGTTTTCTTACCCATAAGTTGCTATTGTATATGGATACTGACAGCCAACTTTAAACAAAGATGGTAACAATTACGTCAACTCTGAAGACAAAGATGATATGTCTCACAGCCTGTAGTTACACTGTTTCTTTTACCATCCAAACCAGAACGCGATTGGGTGTATTGCTGCTAGGTGACAGAACTGGTAAAGGAACTCTACGGCAGAAAAGGACCCTACCACCTGATTAACTATAAATGCTTCCCACAAACGAATTCATTATATTGAGATGGCTAAATATCCGGCCCAAAGGACCAATTAGAGAGATGCCTCTTAAATTGTTACGATTTGTTCTGTAAAGAGTCTGGAAACGCAAGTGGAATGCAACCTTCAAAATTTTTCCTGTAACTACCTCACTCGGTTTGAGGATCGAGCAATGATTAGCAGTAACAGTACCGGTGGCTCTGTACTTTGACTTTTTAATGTAGGGCATTGTGTAGTGTGTATTTGTAGAGGACAAATAAACCTTTCAATGAACTTTAGAGTATGTATGTATTATAAAAATCAATAAATAAGGTTCTGTTATATTGTTAGGCTAAAGGAATCGTGTGAGAATTTTTCGTCAAATTGGCGGCTCTGTAAACATATATTATACCACGTTTTTATTAACTCGCTTTCGTGTGTTTCTGTTAAGGTTGAATTTAATAATTGACTAGCTGTTCCCCGCGACTTCGCCCGCGTGTAATTTAGGGGTTTTTTTTTCAAAATTAAAGTAGCCTAAGTTACTCTTTATAATATCAGCTATCTGCCAGTGAAGGTCCCGCTAAAATAGGTCCAGCCATTTCGCAGATTAGCTGGAACAAACAGACAGACAGACAAACAAACATTTAAAAAAATGTGTTTTTGTTATATGTAACATAAAATATATACTTTCATATGCATGTAGTAAAAAGCTGTGATTATGATTCAGACAGACTTATTTCAGACTTATAATCAGACAATTGAAAAACAGAACAAATTCCTAAATTTTTAACATCTTACCTATCCTTTACCCTGGGCTCATTGGGTAGGAAGCTGGAGGCCCAGATCTGACAATGCGGGTGAGGATTAGAGCAGCCCATAACGGCTCCTTTGTTCTCGAAAATTTGCACCCAAGTGTAGCGCCGACCAAGTTCCTTGATCTGTTCGATCCATCTACACGAAACAATTAATTTTATACAAGGTTACTTTTCAAAGAGTAGCCAAATTTTAAACTTTTCAAATATATAAATAATGATATACCGTTATTGCAGTTTTTGAAAATACGAGTAAATAAATAAATTTTTATTTGAAATCATCCCAAATTGAATGTGATTTATGAGCAACAACTACCCGTACGCGCGCTTCTCTGTGTGCGATTCAATTCACAACGTTTTTGCCGACCGATCAACCCTTTCGTATGTGTGCGTGCGTAATAAATTGGAAACGTTAGATATTTATGAATGACAATCAATTAAAATAATGCATTAACCACGCATTTTGAATTTAAAAGATAAAAAGAACAGAATGCTTGAGATTTTTATTTAGTTAATTTTTCTTCACCGTTTGCCTATATTACTTATTCTGAACAGTCTCTGCAAATTTGGCAAGTTATTGCAAAATAACCAGTGTAGCGCGCATATCTCCTCGATCAATTATTACTCGGACCGGTAGGTCCATTCGTGTGCCGAGTCGATATATCGATAACGTCATATCCAGTACGCTCTAGAGGGCGCTGTAGGTGGAGACAGCAATTCGCGGGTGCTTAACACCCATAGACAAACTCTGGTCTATGATTTATTATTCTGCGTAGTTGCTCACTTAAGAATATACAAAATGTCGGAACTTGCAAGCAACCAGTAATCTTCTCATAATTATGTACTTTAAGCCTAGATAGTTAAATATAATAGAATCTTTGTAAGGTTTTCCTTTAACTGTGTCAATTTAAGACATTAAAACGTTTGTTCTATTCTCTTGTGGCATTTGTGTTCTTCTTCTTTTGTGTCTATCTTTCGGCCTTAGACCACCGCTACAAAAATGGCTCCCAACGTGGGCCTTAGAACATCGCTACACCAGTAAAGTGACCAACCTGTTTTTTATATTTTACTGAAATGACAAACAAACTTGATGGTAAGTGGCAACTACAGTCCATGGACGCCTGCAGCCAACTTCAAACAAAGAAGGTGACAAACAAACATATGCATTGTCACTTCTGAGGACCACTATTTATGCTGGCTCCCTAACCCTTCAAAAGCCGGAACACAGCAGTAGATGTAAAGGCTCACCTGATGGATTGATTTTATACGTGGTAGAGCCATGCTGCAGCTATATTGGTAGTATAGTTGTAGCACGAATGGGTCGGCTCGACCGGGGAAGGACCACGCTCTCACAGAATACCAGCGGAAAATAGCAGCTTAACGCTGCTGTGTTTTGTATGGTGAGTGTAGAGAACCGACCGACCTTTTTACTGGAAAAGAGACATTCCATCTTAGTCCTCACAGGTGACAACGCATCTGCGTTTTGATTCGCAAACGAGGATAGATGTAGATGTCTATAGGCCGCAGCAACAACTTACCATCAGGTGGACTGTGTGCTCGCTTGTCATGCTATCCTATAAAAAAAATGATTTTAGGATCATAAGTTACATCGATCCGAAAACCACTCGCAGCAGTAAAATCCACAAAGTGATCATTCGTGGCGAAAAATTGCTAGAGGAACATACGGTAGTTGACTATCAATGCCCATGTTGATGTAGATCAGTGATTCCCAACCAGTGGTCCGCGGACCACCAGTGATCCGAAAGAGCTTAGATGGCTTAGAGCGTAGTATGGTCCGCGAAAGATTTAAATATTTAATACCTAATAATCGTTTTAAATAACACATTTATTATTTTCTCATCACGCGGGCAATGCAACACGGCGCGTCACGTTAGTAAGTACCTACTAGCTTTTACAATAAACACAAATAATACTGTTAATTAATGCTTCCTTTTAGTTTATTATATAACTAGCTGGCCAGGCAGACGTTGTTCTGCCCTTTCCGACGACCCTTCCTATGAAAAAATCCTTAAATTCGCAATAAAAAAAAATACTTAACGGGAAAAACTTATCGGGATAAAATAGTATCCTATCTCTCAAGTTGGACCAAACTGCATACAACAGTTCAATAGTTCAGGAGATCATCGCGGACCAACAATGTGACACGTAATTTTTATATATAAAGATTATGTTAACAGTTGTGATTATAATTTATTGTTACATTAACTCAGTTTTTTATTTCACCTTGTGTTCCCTGCTAACTACAAATTAAAGTGGTCCCTGGTCAAAAAAGGTTGAGAAACCCTGATGTAGGGTTTCCCAACCTTTTTTTGACAGAATATGGAAGAATTTCTTAGACAGACATAGAACTATGTCTGTGATAAATTGTTTCTTCTTATCATCAGGCGGTAGTCTGATACAGTGATACTTCTATTTTTTTCTTTATTAGGCTGTTAATTTGTCTGAACTGACATAGTTGACATATTGATTGACGATCGTATTAACGGACGACATTGACGGAGCAAACTCAGCTTAGCTCAGGTCACTTAGCGAGCTATGAACAAGGTTATGCTCGGAGTTTCTCTGCGTGTTAGACTTCATAATGAGGATATTCGCATTAGAACCTAGAGTAAGCGAAATATCGCAACGGATAAAATATTAGTTCTTACTCACTCATTGATAACTGACAGTATCTCGTCCACCGACATTAGAGGTATGGTCATCGCTGAATCGGGATGGAAGCACATGACTCTGGAAAGAAGAGACGTTCAGACTATTATTGAAGTGAACACTTCTTTGGACACGTTGAGCGATTTTTGGTAGGAGAAAAACTTATGGGTTCGTGTCACCGATGCGCTTGTGCGCAATACGTCACAAGCATATCTACTAGTATAGTGACCTGTGTATACGCATATATATATATAATTGAGTTATCACTTCTGTCGGCAGTCCTTATGGCTGCCTCTGTTTTTTTATTTTTATTTTTGATAGAGTACATATACCTGCAAACTGTGATTCAACCTGTACCTACGACTCTTTATAGTAAAGGCGAGTATAGATTTCAGCAGGAGTTTTCAGCGCTAGAAATATGGTGGGGCCAACTTGCGCAGGTTTTTTTAAGCCAATTACACGAGTTGTCGAAATAGTAAGTCGGTGCTGCGTCCTATGGATTCCATCTAACATCTATTGACAATCATAATGCAAACGCGTTGTCACTTCTGAGGACGGACATGGCATGACTTGTTACCAGTAAAGGATCTACGATTCCCGCGTTTCGTTTATCCTGGTACTTTTTTATAGGATAGGGTGACAAACGAGCACACAGTCCATCTGATGGTAAGTGGCTGCTGTGACACATAGACATACACATCTATCTTCTATAAAGAATCAAAATGCAGATGCGTTGTCACCCGTGAGGACTAAGATGGAATGCCTCTTTTCCAGTAAAAAGTGTCTCCGGTTCTCTACACTCACCATACGAAACACAACAGTGTTAAGCTGCTATTTTACGCTGGTATTCTGTGAAAGCGTGGTGTTCCCCGGTCGAGCCAACCCATTCGTGCTACAACTATATTACTAATATAGCTGCAGCGTGGCTCTACCACGTCTAAAAGAGACAGAGAGTGATACACTCTGTATTCCTTTCCGCTCTAGCCCACCCATTTGTGCTTTGTCTGCAGCTATAACAAAGCTACAGCGTGGATGGACCACGTCAAAAATAGGAGGTAGAGTTTTTAAAATTAAAAATTACGAAGAAAAGTCAAAGTCGGGAAAAGCATCATTCTGGTGAGAACGTTATTTTAATCCATTGAATACTTTTACCTGCATGTCCCCTTAGCTTGAGCCGCCTGGAACAATGGATGCTCCGGTTGCGGAGGTTCTGGCACCTTCTCCAATAAAGCTGGGAAGTCATTAGGGAATACATATGTCGATGTATAGTTAGGGTTGCGCTGCAATATACAAAAAGATAAATTTTATAATAATAATATGACAAACTAACTGACAGTCCACTTGATTGTAAGTGACACTGGAACCCGTGGACATTTGCAACTAACTTCAAATAAAGAAAATTATTATATTATCATATCGGAAGACTAAGATGAAATGGCTCTATGAATCCGTCGCTAACACCGCAAAATGGCGAACCTCAAATTTTCAAAAACTTACAGGAGAGCAAGAAAACATTTATTATTCCCCGATTACTAGCTTTCTTCATCAGAAAATTAAATATATTAGACTTATAGGAAAACTACAAATAAGATTAATTTTCTGATGAAGAAAGCTAGTAATCGGGGAATAATAAATGTTTTCTTGCTCTCCTGAATTTTTTGTAAAAACTTGAGGTTTGCCCCTATGTGTGGAAGAGTGGACTTCTTATACGCTGTAATGAATGGATGTATAGAAGATAATCTATCAGGAGCGTATGACCCACTGAGAGGTGAAGTTATTAAATTAACAGTAATATTACAACTGTGGCAAATATCCTCCCTATGAGGCAATCTATGGGGGAGGCCTATGTTCAGCAGTGAACTTTTATAGGCTGTAATGGATGGATGTATAGAAGATAATCTACCAAGAGCACATGACCTACTGAGAGGTGAAATTATTAAATTAACAGTAACATTATAACTATGGCAAATTACCTCCCTATGAGACAATCTATGGGTAAGACTGTTCAGCAGTGGACTTTTGATAGGCAGTAGGAAACGGTAATGGGTGGTATACTATATGTTAGGTATATCGGAGTCTTTGGAAGGTCATGAGGTTTTTCTGGTATTACGCATAGTCGTCCTCTGTAGGATCGAAATGAGGTGATAGACTAACACACGCTGCCCCACAGCAAGTTAATATCTTTAAACAAAATCGAAGGTTTGATGCGTGTTTTACCACGAGGAGAGCTCGGAGACATTGTTCAGGTTAATTCCATGTGCAAAATTCCACCAACGTACATTGCGTCAAAACTCACGATACCATCAACACCATCTAGATACTAGGAGTTTTCTTCCCACGAGATTTTTTTTGTCGTCTACCACCTGCGATATATCCGGACCGATATCACTTGAAGAAATGATCTTTCTTCTTTTTAAAAGGCCGGCGATGCAATTCACCTGGTGCTGCAATTGTTCATGGGTAAACACTTACTATCAGGTAAGGCGCATGCTCGTTTGCTCCTCTATAAAAATGGTTCTGACCTGTCCGTTTGATCTGACTGCGCCAGCTCTCAACGGATTGTTGGGATCTAGTGGTGGTTCTTCGGGAGGTTGTTCCGTCTGCCCACTCCATGGTCGGCGGCATCGATGCGGGGATACTAAGATCCATTCGTCCTTCAGCGGATTGTATCTTACGTGCTGGTGTTCTAAAAAAAAGACTATTTGAAATAATTCCTTCATGCGAAAATAAGCACGGGTAGTTTCAAAGCAAAAGACTTTTATATATAAAATACGAAGAAACTTTTTCCATGATATTAGTTAAAAAAAACTTATAATTATAATGGTTAAAACATTAGTATAAAATATAAGGGTAAGGGTAAATTTTTGCAATTGACAATTTCATTCCCTAAATTTTTTTTTAAATTCCAAAAAAAATTATTTATTACAATGGGGATCAAACCCGGGTTGCTTGCGTACTGGCTTTGAGCTACCACGACACTGATGGCGAACTTTACTTATCTTTGAATAATAATATACGAACCTGGATTACTTTACCAGTTTTTACACAACACTGCTTAGCATTCTATTTTTTTTTAATTATTATTTTACTATTTAATTATCATATTAAGAATCATTTAACAGTTCGTAATGTGCGTGTATCAAGAATCGAACACCGGTGGCACACATAATAAATATTACTTAGATTGTGCGCAAAAAGGCGCTCTGAACTATCGGGTGTACCTAACAAAAATTGTAATATTATGTAATTGTAATTTTCAAAATATAAATTAATCATTAATTAATTAAATAAATAAATAACTTTACGTATCTGTGTAATGGCACTGTTAAAACGTAGTGATTATATACTCTTTGGACACTATAATATTAAAACCGCCAGTTCTAGCAGTACGTCAAAATTCCCGCCAAATTTACTGTCACTTTCACATTCTTGCGTCACATCTACAAAATCACGTGTTCGATACTATCAGCTACAATAGTAATTAATCATTGAAAGTTATAATGAAATTACAAATTTAGCGTTAACTAAAATTTTTAACGTACCCGTAGGTTGGAACTCTTCCATTTTTAAACGAACAATTACGTACAATACACGTACCCTTTTAATAAGAGAGCATACACCACTGGACTGCTCAGTCACTCAGTGAAGTTCGCTGCTCAGAGATTAAACAAATGTCGATAGGCAATGATGTAAACTTATATAAAAGTAAACAATATAAATTTATCGACAAAAACTAAATAGGATATTTTTGTTATGTTCGATGGTGCACTTGTAAAGGGCTGTTATATGCTGTTGTGATTAAAAAGGAATGACGATAGTCATCATAATTATAGCTCATCTCCCTTTTACCAGGTCACTTCATCTATTGCAGAACCGTCTTACTCTTCGATACCGATATGAGGTTGCTACGTTATCGGTACTTTAACCTATATGGCCGGTGCGTTGTGACTTCAGCTTACTAATCAATTGGGCTATGTCAGTTGCCCTGGTTCTACTACGCATATCCTCATTAAGAAGTCTATAATGCAGAGAAACTAACCCATTCCTTATTCCCAATAAACTGCATCCTTAAACTAACTGGCAAAACGCACTGGTAGTAAGCTCTTGTTTTCAAGCGACTTCAAAAAAGGAGGAGGTTCTTAATTCGACTGTATTTTTTTTACGTGTATTACCTCAGAACTTTTTTTCTAGGTGAACCGATTGTGATGATTCTTTTTTTAAGCTGGTGCTTCTCATGTGATCCCATATAAATTTGATCAAGATTAGACCAGTAGTTTTTGAGTTATCTTATGCGTATTTAATTAAAAACGACTACATTCACGATGTTCTCATTTTATTTACATTGATGTATAATTTTACCGCTTGTTAAATTTTGAGGTATATGTGACGAATAAACGAAGTGTAGTACTGAAGCAGGCTGCCTCTAGATGGAGTGACGACTTGGTAAAAGATGCAATAAGTCGATAGATGCATGTGACCCGGGACCGTGAATTGTGGCATTCCTTGAAAGAGGCCTATGTTCAGCAGTGGACGTGTGTAGGATTGTAACGGCAATAACTTTGATTGACCTCTCAGTCGAAGTTTAGTTGGACATATCCGATGATGATGATGAATATGAATGAAAATTGTATTATGTACTTCTTAAAGTATTTAGGACATACACTGTCGTTTAATACTGTACTTATTATAATATTATTTTTTTGAATATTAAAAAGGTGAAATGTAAACTTCTTTTGTAAGCTAAAAATTCTTGTACGACTTTAATTGTAGAAAAATTAAACATAAATTGGTATTTAAAATACGCTAACTATAACCAAAATGCATGACATGGGGATTGTAAGCTGCCTAAGATCCGCAAAGCCTTAAACTAAAAAATGTCCATCTGTTAGCTAAGCTTAGGTATTATTCTATATTTAATTAACCCTTAACCGGTTTTTGATTGACACTTTTTATCGTGAGACTTCAAAGATACCTTTTGCTGTGGGGCAACGAAAATGTTATGCCGCACTTCTACCGGCTAAAACCGTGGTGTTCACCATGAGCGTATACCAGAGGTATCGCGATCTCCGTTCGAAACGGAACCGAAGCCTCTCTATAGCTTTACTTGTCCTAAACATTTTCGCAGTGCTATCTCGAAGTCTCGAGACCACTTCCGAGTAATCGATCTCCTCGGGGTTTTTTGAATGACACAAAGTGTAAGGAATCCTTTTTATTTATTGGGAGTTAGTCTGTTTTAGCACCACACTATTACTATTACTATTAACTAAGGGTTATTCTCAGTACTCAGAGTTAGCGCCCCTTGCTTCCATACAAATCAGTTATTGAGTTTTTTTTTTTTGAAGAAATTCTCAGTAGCCCGGAGTCAGGAAGTTGGCGGTGTCTCACCCTCGTGCCTCGGAATGCACGTAAAGCCGTCCACATTGGAAGTTTTTTTTTTATTTATACTCTTAATTGCACACAAAATATTACACAACACAACAAACTTAAAATAAAATATACAATTAGGTGGCCTTATTGCTAGACAGCTACCTCTTCTAGGCAAACCATCGTGAAGGAGATCATTTTCATTTAAATATATAGAAGTGTGCATATAATAGTAGATAAACGAGTATATACATATATCTTTATATATAAAAATTACGTGTCACGTTGTTTGTCCGCGATGAACTCCTAAATTACTGAACTGATTTCAATGAAATTTTGCACACTTTGTGCAGTTTGGTCCAACTTGAGAGATAGGATAGTTTTTATCGTGATTAGTGACACTCAATATTTTTTTATTACGAATTTAAGCAAGTTCATATGAAGGGTTGTCGAATAGGGCAGAACAACGTCTTCCTGGCCAGCTAGTATATATATATATAGTTTATAATTTTTAAAGTAATATAAAATCTTATTCATCGATATTATCGACTATCGTCCGGCACATCTCTACGCAATATAACCATAATTTGTTTGGATTACCTCCGACGCTGATAAAAGGCTGACGTTATCGCATTTTGTTATAAAATAGATAATTGTTTTCGTAATTTTTTTAGGAAGTTTGTGCGAATTGTAGTACTTAAATGATATTTAATAAACGATACATATAAATATACTTTGAGAACATTGTTATTATTTTCAAACTAGCGACCCGCCCTGACTTCGCCTGGGTAGGATCTATTAATGATGGAAGGATTAATGTGGCGTTTTTTAGATATAAGATAATGAAATACCATCTATTTTAATAATGTTTCGATTTCAAAAAAATACTCTGAAGTGTTCGGATAAAATTTATAACCTCCTTGGATAAAATATAGCCTAGAACCTAGATCACTCCTGGTATTGCCATACCAGGAGTGATCTAGGTTCTAGGTTTTAACAGTGGTAGAGCCAGGCGGCAGCTTTTGCTGTCGCACGGATGGGCCGGCTCGAACCGGGGTGGTACCACGACCTCACAGAATACCAGCGTGAAGTAGAGGTTTACCTCTGCGTTTCGCTTGGTGAGTGCAGGTGGCCGGAGGCCCTTTTTACTGGAAATGAGGCATTCCATCCTGGTCCTCACGGGTGACAACGCATCTATATTTTGATTCGCAAACGAGGATAAATGTAGATGTCTATGGGCCACAGCAACCACTTACCATCAGGTGGACTGTGTGCTCGTTTGTCACCCTATCCTATAAAAAAAAAACCTATGTGTTTTAGTATTTATTATTCCACATGTGGTATTGCTGTTTATCTTATCTTTAAAATATCTCTTCTTCATGAAGTTGTATCATAATCGGTTCAGCCATTTCGAAGATTAGTCCGAACAGACAGACAGACAGACAAACAAATATCATACAAATGACATTTATGTCTTAAGGCGACACCGCGAAAAAATGCACCTCCTTTCATCGAATAGTATAGGAGTATGACACGACTAACGAAACTGGAATTTTGATATAGATAAATTCATGTTTTTATCTTGAATTTGCTTGTTCAAAAACACGATTGTAAAATTTTGACTCAATCATAATTATTTGCAAAAACACCTCTAAAAATCACTATAGTTGAAATTACAACGAAATTACTTAATCTATATGCTTGGGAACCACTCAGATACATTCATAACATCAATATTCGTAATCTACTTGCTCATTATTTTGATTACTAAAATCAACAATTTTTAAAAAATATTTTAAGATTCTAAGCGATTTCTAAGCGGTCTTAATCGTCGCGGGCGCTACGCAATTTTAAACCTTATAACGGCGCTTTTGAAGTTTTTATAGACATTATGTTTCACTCGGGTCAGTCCGGCGATAGCCCGCTTCAACGGTTTTCGATGTGTCGCCTTATTGGCATGCAAATAAACTCCTGAGATCGATAAAAGGCAGCTATTTCGATATTACAGACAGACGCTTCAATTTTATTTATATGTAGCGTTCCGCCCCGGCTTCGCACGGGTGATTTCTGTACCTCAACTACAGCGCCATCTAACGGGTCCAATTGTGAATCTACTTAGTCACACACAAAATTTCATCAAAATTGGTCCAGCCGTTTAGGAGGAGTTCAGTCACATACACACGGACAGAATAATTCTATAATATATAATATGGTTACATTATACATACAAACCTTTCTCATAAATCATTCTGTCTATTAATGAAAATCGTATCAAATTCCGTTGTGTAGTTTACAAGATCTAAGCGTACAGACGGCGGGAAACGACTTTGTTTTATATTATGTAGAGATAGATTTACAAGCAGTAGGCTTATATAAAAACTAATAAAAACTTACTTCACTAGAATAGTAGTGAAACGTTAGTTTAAAATAGTTAAAAAAGTAAGTTTTAGACTTCAATTTCGCGTTAATAAATATTATGCGAACGCCTAGTAATGTAACCCCTGAGGAGGACGGTGACTCGGAAGTGGTCTCGAGCACCGTGATAGCACTGCGAGGGTGATGGGGGCAGTAAGGACTGTCCACGAAACGTGTTTTAATAAAGCAAAGCGAGAGAGGGGCCGCGGTTGCGTTTCGAAGAGAGATCCCGGGACTCCTCATATACGCTGATGGTGATCACCATGGGGTTTTGGCCGGTAGTAGTCCGGCATAACCTTTTCTGTAGCCCCCGCAACAGAAGGTATTCATGGGAATTTCGTCACGATAAAAAAAGACGTGTTATTGACTATTGAGTGGACTGACCGACCGTGCTAAGGGAAACGTAGTATGGGACATTCCTCACTAGATGGAGCGACGATCTGCGCAAGGTGGCTCCGAAGACTTGGCTAATTGGCGCTCCTTGAGAGAGGTCTATGTTGAGCAGGGGACTGCCACAGGCTGATCATGATGATGATGACCCTGGATCCTTAGATATGCTCAAAGCTTTAGTTACAACACAATATCAATGTAAACAAAACAAGTGGTCTATAATCAACACGTTGGCGTTAAAAGTATTTTATTATTTGATAGTTCCAAAAATATAAATGTAAAAATGTGGCTATTTTATTTTTAACTTAATTTAATAATAAAAACGTAAATCGTAACAGATTTTCAAATAAGTACATAATAAAAAAAAATATGTAACATTATTTTGAATATTGAAC